AAATTATTGAAAAACGGAACAAATCTCTATTTTGTCTACTAATTACTATTCGTATAAAAACTTTTTATTTTGCATAAAGATTCGCAGCCTAACGCGAATAAATAATGTATGATAAATCTGGAAATAATGCTAAATAATAAAGCAATGCTAAATAAATGATAAAAATGCTAAATAAATATGCAAATAATTCCAAATAATAAAGATAATACTGACAAATCGGGTCTAGTGCAGAGCCGCGTCTGGTTCGCCGGTTTAGCGGGAATCTCACAACTTGAAACAGAACTATACTTCGGCTATCCGTTGCACAAAAGAAACGTGTAGCCTGCAAGCCAGGCCCGTTCCATCGCTAAATTACAGTTACTCACACTTACAGTTAGACCAGCCGACAAAAGAATAACAAAGAGCTCGCCGTCGGACACCTTCCGCAGTTGTCCGAAGGTGAATCCGCGTTCGGATCCGGAACAGGGCCCAGTCGATTACCCAATACAGTCGAACGGATCCGATTAGGTGAAAATACGCGGTGGCGTCCCGCTGCGAGCAAACCAGGCTGCCCCGGCATTGTGCGCCGGATGTGTACCGGGATTGGGGGCTGTCAATAGGATCAGCGCCGATAACAATGTGTCTCGAGTCAAGAGACCCTCTCGACAGTTCCGAAACTCGGCGTGGCTAATGCATTAGATTAGGTTTAGGTTTTACGGGTAGCTTGGTCGAGAGAGAGAGAGAATCCCTCGGCGTGCTGCGGATTCGTTGGTGGCTCCCGTGCCGGATGACTGGATCGCGAGCTACTTTGCCGGCTCAGGTTGTTTCGTTTGTTGCTCTGTGAAGAGGTGTTGACACGGCCCTACACGGTAACTCTCCTGGACACTTGAATGGGATCTCGAGGACCGTGGAATTCTTTTCATTAATTTGATCGGTTCGGCTGCGGTTCGCAATGCAACCCTTGTCACCGCGCTTGTTCCTCTCTGTTTGCACCCTTTGCTTTCCTACTTGTGACAATGTGATACGCCGACAGATTCTAGTATCTAGAGCTGTTATCTCGGAGATGAAAAATATCTACGATATCATTGAGGATAATGGGGTTATTATTAAAGATTAGTCGAGGAGTGTTATCGTAGAAAACAATGTAAGTGTCAAAAATGTAACTTTCTAGGAGGAAGACAAAACACCGCTGTCTTAAAACTATTAACAAAACTCGATTTATCTTTATCTTTACACGTAACTAACACCGCAATAAATTAAAAACGTAACAAAGTTCTTTTTTACTTCTTACTATAATAATGCATGAATTTATGATAGAAAGAATTAGCGTTATTTATAACGAGACATTGTACCTAAATAGTGCACTACCGTATTTCCATCGGCACATACAATATTTTAAGAGGGGAAAACAAAAATTTGTCGATATTGAAACTTACATTGTTTTCTGCGAACACTTCTCGAAATTACGTCCAGTCCAGTTCAAACGCCATTATCCCCTAATTATCATTCCACGTGATAATTCTATTATGGTAACGCGTCGGAAGCGATTTAAAAATTGCAAGGAAAACGGCGTTGTTTCCCTTGAAAGCGTGAAGGGATGAAAGAGCGATCCGGGAATGTTCGACGTTAATTAAAACAGGGCCGCCGGGTCGAATTTTTTATTCGGCCGCGCGGAATTAATATTTTCTCGTTACGATTGTATTTCGAAATCGAAATTCCCGGATGGCTGAATGGGTTCGTTATTCGATCCCGAAACAACGAGACTCGTTATGTTACGGGCTTCTGCTTTTCCGTTCGCGGTATCAGATCATTATTCTCCATTTTCACGTTTTCCGATTGCTGAGATCGTTGAGGCCGCACGGTGCGTGCACGATGTCGTGTGGCCACATCCTCCTTTTGTTTTCCCCGTATTTCTCCATTCACTCCGTCGATATCTGGCATCTCTGAAAAATCATTGTATTGCGATACCGAGCGACGTGATTTAGAGGGATCGAGCGGGAAAAACTCGCCGCCATCCCGCTCTAAACTTTCCCTATTCAGGAAAACTTTGCTGCGCGTAAATCTTGCTTTCTGCAAATCAATCTCAGTGGATCTGCGCGAAAAGTTCACGTTGCTGCAACGAGATCAAAGTGAAATTGTTCCGATTAATGAAACGTTCTATTATCAATGAAATATTCGCAATTTGACGAAGATCTGCTTCGACGCGAATAGAAATTCGCGTATCGAATTTCTCGCGACTTCGACAAGAATTACGCTGTTAGCAAGCTGCGAATATTTGTGCAAAATATAATATTGTTACAAGGAACAGAAGCAAGATAAAAATTGATTTTCACTCTTTAGTTATTATTTAATTCTATAGTTATTATTATCAATCTTTACTAATCTTCGTTACTATTATAACTACTCTTTAGTTATCATTAATATTTAAGAGTTTTAATAAATTGCAAATAATGTTATAATAACCTTAACAGTAGACTTACAGACCACTAAAACCAGCTGTCTCCTATTAGCTTATAAAAGTAACAATAAGACATATATTCTGATCTCTAACGGTTGCTATTGTAACATTTGCCGCAAGTAATACGAAGTAAAATCAATCAAATAAAATATTAACTAAGATTAATCAAATAATACTAAGTAAAATTAACTAAGTAATACAAAAATATAAAAATTAGCGATTCCGACGGGCTCCGTAAATCAACTGTTAAATTCTTGGAAGTTTCGTACTGTCTCGTGTTTCGTCCATCCATTTTTGTTCTAAACGCATTCGCGGTCCAATTATTGGACATACGAGAAGCGCCATACAAATAGGAATGATATAGTTGATGGAGAAACGACGGTCAGCTGGCCGGGCGTCGCGGCGACGGTGATTCTTGTCAAGGGTGGAATCCGAGCGTGAGGTTCGCGAACAGAAGCCGTTTGGCCGAAAACTGGTGCGTGTTGGGAGCGTGGCCGGGGATCGTCGTATAAATACAAATACGTGGCACGGCATGCCAGTTTCGCCGGGACTGGATCCGACGCGATGCGGCATCAGGGTTATAAGATCGGCCACGTCTCTATCTAGGTTCTTTAGTACGGCTGCGAGGGGACGCAATATATTTGGGCGGTGGAGAGCGAGATAGGTGGTTAGGTAGGTAGCCGTGGTGGATGTCGGGTAGATAGTCGACCGGCTTCGGTAATGGAGACTGCAGGGTGCCGCTAATGCAGTAGCGATGTCACGATGCCCGTTGCATCGGTATATTCCTTCCCTTTCCGGCCTTTTGCTCCACCGCGGTTTACCATACGTGTCCCTTCTTACCTTCGCGATATCACCGGACTTCTACGTGTCCCGCCGTCCCTCCCTCCCTCTCCTTTTCTCCGAGCCTTTCTCTCTCTCTCTCTCTGTCTCTCTCTCTCTCTCTCTCTCTTTCCTCTCCAAGTTCCCCGTGTTCGGACCCGCGGAGATCTCTCGGCCCGTCGTTCTTTATCTGCGCCGCGGCTTTCTTTTTCCCTCTTCCTCGCTGGCTCTCTCTCTTAACGGAACCCTATCGCCGCGGACACGGCAGATATCCGGCCGATGGGAAACATTCTGCCGCGCCGATGTGTTTGTATCGTTTAAACTGAACGGAAAAATGGGCGCCGCCTGCATCCCGCAGTTACGATAATTTCTTGGTCATTTTTGTTATGCCGCGGCGGCCGCCCTCTCCCCGGCCGATCCGCCGGCGACGTTGCTCGATTTCTTGCCTCGTTAATTGGCCGGCGACGGTGCTCGAAAAATGCGCCCCCAGAGGAGAAGCACGTTTTCAAACGGTTTTATGGGGATCCTGGGAATTTGAGGCCCCGAACACGAGCGCGGTCCGAATTTCTTCTTTCCGCGAGAGTTTACGCCAGCTTACGGGGATCCCCGAGCAGCTGTGCAACAGCTCCTGGAACTGGTTATTTAAATTCCCTGCTCATAGGCCGTTCTAACTGACTAAATAATGACAGCATTTGAGAAAATGATACGCCTCTGCATTTGCGTTACGCGCCAATGCGCCGAGCCGACTCTTCTACGCCCGGGCTGATATCTCACTAGACAGCTCGCTACCGTCCGCCTTAATTATCATTTCGTGTCTTCTTCTGTCATCGTTTCCATTGTTCCGTCAGCTCGTAGCCAGCAGCGCAATGCGGTGCCATCGGATTTGGATCGTTCGCAATAGTAATTCAGTTTACTAACTATGACCCTGTGTTATAAACTGCGCGCTGTCTTCGATCGCCGAAATTTTTATTAGAAAATGGCTATATTTAAATCGCACTGAATGACAAAACGATAAAAAAGGTTCATATAAACATACGTAATGTTTGACTTTGTTTTCTAGTTATGATTCTTTTCAGCGTTCCGATAAATAATATAACAATACGTAATGGTTTAATGCAGGTATTCTTATAACTTGAAATATTTATAAGTTTATAAGTTTATAAGTTTCAATATTTGAATGCTTTGCATTCGTAATTCTAATCTACAATGAACGTTGCAAAAAGATGATTAACCTAATAAAAAATGAAGATAACTTCGACGCTTTTAACACTAAACCTACCAAGTAGTAATAGTAACTGACGTGCATTGCTTCGTAAAAGCGACAAGATCGAATTTACTTAGATTTTGTAAAATTTCTATTATAAAACATGCTCGAATAACGTGATTTATTCAAGCATTTTCCATGAAAGCCTCTCGAAAGTTTGCAGAACTGTGAAATAAGGAAACAGTAATTTCAACCGCGGTAGGTTTGGTGTTAATATAATTGCACTATATATAATATATATAATAATATATAATATATATAATTGCATATTTCTTGCACTAATCGGTGCATCAATTTCTATAAAAAAATGTGTTAGGGTTGCTCCTGCTGAAAATTCATTAGTTCAAAATTTATTTCGTCCTGAACGCCCATAAGGACCGTACACTGTGCGTAGACGGCGTAGCCTCCGAATAGCCTCCAAAATAAGTGAAACCGACGGATTCGAATACCGCATTAACCGCTGAACTTTGTCTTTTCCAGGATGTTTGGCAGCATGAAGCGCTGCGCCCGGTGCCAAGCGGCGATTCTAGCCTCGGAGCTGGTGATGCGGGCCAGGGAGCTCGTGTTCCACGTGCGCTGCTTTTCCTGCGCGGCCTGTGCAGTTCCGCTGACCAAGGGCGACCATTTCGGGATGAGGGACGGCGCGGTGCTGTGTCGGCTGCACTACGAAATGGGCGCGGAGATGCACCCATCCCAGAGTCCCCCGGTCCCGGTCTACCCGCCGGGTCCCCACTACCCCGGCCAGCCGTTCCCCTCGCCGGAATTCCTTCACCATCACCATCACCATCCCGCCCATCCGCCGCATCCGCACCACTCGATGCACCCGCAGCACCCCCACAGCCACGTCAGCCCCGTGCCGCTTCAACCCTCGACGCCGTCCGTGCCCGACGCGGGCTCGCCGCCGAAAGTCCCGTACTTCAATGGCGCCGCGGTTGTGCCACCACCTAGGCAGAAGGGCAGGCCCAGGAAGAGGAAGCCGAAGGACCTCGAGGCTATGACCGCCAACATAGGTGAGCGACTATGCATCTTTCGCGAAACGTTTCTGCTCGCTGGGTTCGCTGGCTAAGCAGCAGGTTAGCCGGGTCGCTATCAGGGTTCTCATTAAAATAGGTTACGCAAGGAGTAGGGACAGGCGACGCGTGCGCGGTAGTTATGCACAGCGGCGTGGCGCGTCTGACGCGTGAATATTATGTTCCTGAACTACGATCTGTGAGTGACATAGAAGAATACTTAGACAATAGAAGAATTACTTAGTTAAAGTGACAATGTCATCTTTGTTGATTTGTACAATAAGTCGTTTCGTATATGATTCGCCTTTGATTCAGCCGCTTGCAGATAAGGAGTATTTAAATAAGAGATGATTCCAATATTGGAGGATAATCGAGGTTATTTTGTCTATAATAAATAGACCGCGGATTTGATGCAATTATGATAAAAATGGATTAGTAAAATTTAGGATCATCTATATATTGTGACTAACTCGCTAAAAGTGTTAAACGAAGAACGAAATTTCTATCGTGTTCCTGTTCGTTGCTGTTCAAGAGAAAGGTTTCTATTTTGCATAAAGATCCGCAGTATAGTAATAAGAATAAGAGAGGACCTTGTTGGAGATCCTTGGAAGACAAACACTCTCGTCCAACGAGAACCGTAGTTAAAAGCGCATCTTCGGAACCGTTCAGAAGCGACCGAGCAACGGCCAGAAATTGAAATACAGTCGGGAATGAGATATGAAAACGTGTATAAATTTCGGAATGCGCGCGGCTTGTTAAGAATATATCAAGCAATTAGTCGACTGTACAATTAGAAAAGCATTGACTTGCAATCTCACCAATTTCATATACAATTCCTTCGAGCGTAAAGTGGGCTATCCCTCGGGTAATAACGCGAATGCGTTGCCAGCTGCGTTTTCAGGAGGCTCGGAACGTTACCGAACCTCGTATCTTATTTATAATTAAGAAGCACGGAAACATTGTTTCTCTGTCAAAGTACAGTTAAAGCGGGGATTGCTCGCGCCGACGCTTCGCATTGGCATTTAATTGACGATATTATGGGGCGCTGGACGCTCAAATCTTATTCATTTCAATTAGCATTTAGATAAGACCGGCATTATATTTTCGATTTATACGCCGATCCCTTTTCAAATTATCCCGCTCGAATAATCCCCTGCGATCCCGACGATGCTCGCTTTAATGCGTTCAAATAGTTCGCCGCCAATTTACGTACCTCAGAGAATCAAAATGATAAACAACGTCTCGAAGATTCGCCGAACGTAATTCCAGAAATGGCCGACCCGTTGCATCGTTGATCCTCTTAAGCTCGATACAAGCATCAAATCGTTTAAATTAGCTGCCAGCAAATTACGTTTCCCATCAGACGCTTGTTACTCTGCGTCGAAATGAACGCGAGTCTCACCTCTCTCTCTTACGGTTTCAGATCCTGTAAAATCTTTCTGATCTCTATCGTTGGCGCGGCAATTTAACGCGCACCGAACAAGATCTAATAAACGTTAAATTATATTCGGTATATTTATTACTTTCCATTTATTCTATTTATTTATTTATTTATTCTACGGGCGAAAACCCATTGATTCACAATATAGAATGTCATCGGACAGAGAGCAGAGTTTACAAGAGAAGGAAGAAATGTAATCGAACCGCAAAAATTGATGTAAAAAAAGTACAGCGGTGTGCATAATTGTAGACTCAAAGCAACTGCTACCTCTTGTTACTGATATCCAAACGAAAACTCAACGAAATACCATATTTGTATATTTCTATCTTCTATGATTTCTAATATAGAAATATACGAATACGATATTTTGTTAAATATTATTTTTAGATATACACTCGGTGTCCCAGCTAAAAACGAAGCATATTCGTATGTTTACCTATATTTAAACTCGAGCAAAAAGAGAACAACATTTTCTAGCTGAAATAAATATAAGTAAATAAATATTACAACGGCAACGAGCGTGTTAAAGAGCCGCCAATTTTTCTTACACTCGTGCGTTAAAAACTGGCACTTCGTTCGGGCATCTCTGCTATCCGAACCGCAGCGCTTCGTTGGTTACCAGCCGGGCGATTTTCATTATTCCGTGTCGGCGGTTGTCCCGCGATGACAATCACGACGTGTACGGGGTCCGCTCGGTGGAATTTTCGTGCGGGGCCCGTCCGCAGCGTGTTCGGAGCTTACGGGCCGACGCGACGTGCAGCACGCGGTCAGATCGCACGTAGCACACCGGCGCGCGGCTCGGCTCGGCTCGGCTCGGCTCTGCGCGGCGTGTCCCGGATACACGGATCCGACTCCTCCCAGCGTGATTTACGGGCGCGCGTGGGCGTGCGGTGTTTGCCACCGAACCCTGATAAAATTTGTCGCCGCGACATAAATTCACGAATCCAATCCCAGCGAAGCGTGTACGTGTCGCGCGCCGAATCCGCTCCGCTCCGCTCCGCTCGGCTTCCACCCACGAGAAGGACTTCATCTCGATTGTTGACCGACCGTGGGAACAAACGGATCGTCTCCGCGAGGCCTCGACAAGAGCCACCCGGCCTTCGACGTCCGGACCAGTCTTCTTCTTCTTCTTCTTCTCTTCCGACTTCTTTTTCCTCGATTTTCATCGCCACCAAACTAAAGAGAGAGAAAGGGAGAAAGCGAGAGAGAGAGAGAGAGAGAGAGAGAGGGAGAAAAAAAAATGAAAGGACCACGATGATACCCCTGGGGCCTCTGGACCCGCCGATGACTGGGAGTCGCGTCCTCTATTTGGTCCCTGGCCGATGAGGCGCGAAAATTTATCGACGGAAATAAAATAATTTGGTTGGGGGACGCTGCGTCGATTGGGCCTTTTTTCTGGCAAGGTCACCTGGTCCCTCTCTCTCTCTCTCGCTCTCTCTCTCTTTCTCTCTCATTTGCTCGCTCGCTCGCTAGGGACATCAACGTTTTATCATCTTTAACCCTTTTTGCTCGCGCTCGTCGATTTAGCCGGGCAGGCTGCGGGGCTGGACCCGTTCCTGAATGAGACGTCGTGCGGCTTTTATTGGAAATCCGAGATTAGGGGTTGGGAAACGTGTAAAGTCCTCCGTGGAGACGTTTCAATTTCGAGGGAGAATGATAGTGGTGTAAAACCGCTGTTATTAGATACCGGGGACGTTCGAAAATATTATTTATTCGCCCGTGTTTATCCCGCGAACGCTGAATTTCCACGGCGAAATCGCCGTTCTTGGTCGCTTCTTCGCGCAAATTCACCTAACTCTACGCAGAAGGTGCCGCGTACGGATGGGTGCTGTTAATAAAATCGTTCGCTGTTCATCGTTTCGGGCTATAAAATTTCCGAACAGCGACCATCCATGGAAACTATCACGAACGTAACCTTGGAAAGGAGTGAGCCTAATTTGCAGAACGGTGAATTCGGTGACATTCGTGGACGCGTTCTAAAGCTCGAATGAATTGGTACGCGTTCGCGGAATTGGATCGCAGATCGGATAGAACCGGGATAAATTCGAAAGGACGCGGCCGCGGACGGTTCCAGGATCGGCCGGCTAGATGAGAAACCGTTGGCAGGCTCGTTTAGACTAGTTTCCAGGCTGCCGTAGATCCGGCCGCGATACCGCGGCGATCACGATCTTATCGATCCGCTCGATTCATCGGGAGCTACGATGGCTGCTTCTTGATCGCTGAACGACTGTCAAGCGCCGCTTTATCGTCCGGGACAACCGGGGTCCCCGGGACAAGATAGGTATACCGGAATGAGGTATCGTGCCTGCAAACTATTTGCTGCATAGAGTTGTAATTGGCTTGTGTATCCACCGGTCTTTCGCATACGCTATCACCCTTCTTGTTTGCACTCGGGGAGCTAATGAGCTGTGATACACATCAAACACCGCTAGAGTCGCGGCCCGGCCGCTGAACGCCGCTGAACACCGTTGAACACCGCTGAACGCCGCTTCCGACGGTTCGTCGCGTTGCTCGCGGGCTCCGGCGATTCTTGCTTCGATCGCTTGATCCGAGATCGAGGCGCGATTGTCCTATCCGTTACCAAATATACGTTAAATATCCGATCGTGCGACTGCGCTTTTCCTGGCAGCAAAGAAAACCGTTTCGAGATCGATGCTGCGATCGTCGTTGGATCTCGAACCTTTCTAGCAGCGTGGCGGATCGCGCAGTGATGCATTTAGTGGCACTTTTGAGCTTGTCAATCTCTGCATACGTTGCAACAATATTTTTTGAAGCTGCTCTAAACGACTCGAATCTTTTCGGTAAATGTTAGAGGTATTAGTTCACTGTACAATGACTAAAATTTGGTATCTCGTAATCGAATAGAAAATCGAATAGAAAAATTGCTGTGTTGGGTTCTAAAATAATTTGCACATTAACAAATTGGATTGTATCTGAAGAACTATTAAGCAGATCATATTTAACGCTAGATTTACGGAGCACAAAAAAAACCAGCTGTTTTATATCAGTTTATAAAAGTAACAATAAGACATTTATTCTGATTTCTAACAAGTGTTATTGTGACATTTGCAGTAAGTAACATATAATTTGAATAAATAACTCATAAATGTATCTTTACGATATGAATAATCGTAGACGAAAAAGTTAGTGATCCGTCATTTTGACGGGTTCCGTAAATCTAGTGTTAACACTGGAATTACCAAGCCAGTCGAAAGGACTGATTTTTTATCTTTTCTTTACAGTTCCTGACATTATAAAAATATTTCTAAAAGAAATTTTTTGCTACACTACTTTATTGAACTATATATTATAATATAAATCATACGAAGTCTAAATAAATCCAGTCCTTGCATTGTTATAAAACAATAGACACTAGTCGCGTTTAGTGTTCGGTAGTTCCAATGTTAAAAGTGTAACTGTCGTAGGGCATAGCATGTCCAAGTCATATAAATTGGAAAAATTCTGAAAGCCAGAAAAACAGTTTCGCGACAAGTTAAAATGGCTTCGAGCGTAAAGGGTTAGCTTGCAAACGTTATCAACGCACGAAGACGTTCTCCAAGAGTTCCTATCCCCGCGCGTCGGGTGTACCAGAACGAATGAGACAACAGCGCGTAAATAAAGTCGGCCGCGCACTGCCGGCCGAAGCGTAATAACATCGAATGAAATATACAGTAAAAGAGGATAGCGGACGGAAAGGGCCCGGTCCCGCGGCACCCCTAATTGCGAGAGGTAGACGGAATAAAATATGCAGGCGGCTGACAGAGGGAGGCCAAGGGGCCGTCGATTTAAGTAGCGTAGGAACAATGGATTTCCCGAATATCGACGTGACGGGCACCGGAAAGACGAACAGCCGCCCCTGGCCCGCATAAATCTAACTGGTCCAACCCTTCGCGTCCAGGGCCGGCCGCGGCCGTGGCCGCCGGAAAAGATCCCCCGGGCTGATACACGCCCGATACCGTGGCGGCCTCAAAAAAATAGCCAGGCGACGCCGGTGTTTTAATTAAGACGCATAATCCGGATGTTGGGATTTATGTTGCAGATTTAAACGCGGACTACATAGATATGCCCTTCGGCAGAGGGGGGCCGGCGACTCCCGGCATACCTGGCTCGAACAGCAGAACAAAACGAATGAGAACGAGTTTCAAGCATCACCAGTTAAGGACGATGAAGAGTTACTTCGCGATCAANGCGGGCTCCGGCGATTCTTGCTTCGATCGCTTGATCCGAGATCGAGGCGCGATTGTCCTATCCGTTACCAAATATACGTTAAATATCCGATCGTGCGACTGCGCTTTTCCTGGCAGCAAAGAAAACCGTTTCGAGATCGATGCTGCGATCGTCGTTGGATCTCGAACCTTTCTAGCAGCGTGGCGGATCGCGCAGTGATGCATTTAGTGGCACTTTTGAGCTTGTCAATCTCTGCATACGTTGCAACAATATTTTTTGAAGCTGCTCTAAACGACTCGAATCTTTTCGGTAAATGTTAGAGGTATTAGTTCACTGTACAATGACTAAAATTTGGTATCTCGTAATCGAATAGAAAATCGAATAGAAAAATTGCTGTGTTGGGTTCTAAAATAATTTGCACATTAACAAATTGGATTGTATCTGAAGAACTATTAAGCAGATCATATTTAACGCTAGATTTACGGAGCACAAAAAAAACCAGCTGTTTTATATCAGTTTATAAAAGTAACAATAAGACATTTATTCTGATTTCTAACAAGTGTTATTGTGACATTTGCAGTAAGTAACATATAATTTGAATAAATAACTCATAAATGTATCTTTACGATATGAATAATCGTAGACGAAAAAGTTAGTGATCCGTCATTTTGACGGGTTCCGTAAATCTAGTGTTAACACTGGAATTACCAAGCCAGTCGAAAGGACTGATTTTTTATCTTTTCTTTACAGTTCCTGACATTATAAAAATATTTCTAAAAGAAATTTTTTGCTACACTACTTTATTGAACTATATATTATAATATAAATCATACGAAGTCTAAATAAATCCAGTCCTTGCATTGTTATAAAACAATAGACACTAGTCGCGTTTAGTGTTCGGTAGTTCCAATGTTAAAAGTGTAACTGTCGTAGGGCATAGCATGTCCAAGTCATATAAATTGGAAAAATTCTGAAAGCCAGAAAAACAGTTTCGCGACAAGTTAAAATGGCTTCGAGCGTAAAGGGTTAGCTTGCAAACGTTATCAACGCACGAAGACGTTCTCCAAGAGTTCCTATCCCCGCGCGTCGGGTGTACCAGAACGAATGAGACAACAGCGCGTAAATAAAGTCGGCCGCGCACTGCCGGCCGAAGCGTAATAACATCGAATGAAATATACAGTAAAAGAGGATAGCGGACGGAAAGGGCCCGGTCCCGCGGCACCCCTAATTGCGAGAGGTAGACGGAATAAAATATGCAGGCGGCTGACAGAGGGAGGCCAAGGGGCCGTCGATTTAAGTAGCGTAGGAACAATGGATTTCCCGAATATCGACGTGACGGGCACCGGAAAGACGAACAGCCGCCCCTGGCCCGCATAAATCTAACTGGTCCAACCCTTCGCGTCCAGGGCCGGCCGCGGCCGTGGCCGCCGGAAAAGATCCCCCGGGCTGATACACGCCCGATACCGTGGCGGCCTCAAAAAAATAGCCAGGCGACGCCGGTGTTTTAATTAAGACGCATAATCCGGATGTTGGGATTTATGTTGCAGATTTAAACGCGGACTACATAGATATGCCCTTCGGCAGAGGGGGGCCGGCGACTCCCGGCATACCTGGCTCGAACAGCAGAACAAAACGAATGAGAACGAGTTTCAAGCATCACCAGTTAAGGACGATGAAGAGTTACTTCGCGATCAATCACAATCCGGACGCGAAGGATCTCAAGCAACTTTCCCAGAAAACTGGCTTGCCAAAAAGGGTGCTGCAGGTAAGCCTCCGCGAGGATTCTCCTCTCTTTCTTCTCTTCTCTGTTCTTCGCTTCTCTCTCTCTCCCTCTCTTTTCTCTCTTATCGTTAGTCCCGGTGCCGAGGCCTCGTCCGCGGAACAGAGGCTCTCCCCAGTAAATTGACAATCTCCTTTTTGATCGGGACTTCTGTCCGGCGCTGTTCTTCTCATGCCGGCGAAACAACCGATCCTGCTATCGTTTACTCGCGGTCCAATTTGTTTTCGCCGGACATGCTAGCGGAGAGCTTTCCTCTCGGTAAATCCTCCGATCCCTCCGGCCCTCGGTAACCCTCCCCCTCCGACCGCGGGAGGAATCTCTGTTTGGTAGCGTTCCACCTTCACCTCTTCATCTTCTTCGGCCGCTCTTTCTTTTACGGCCGCTTCTTATAATTGTCAAACGAACAAATACGGCGTCTCGTTACGCTATCCGTCGCGTCTCTTCCCTGCATCCTTCCCGAATTGTCCGCAAATTGCTAATGACCTCGACCGTTTTGGCCGATGGAAACGTTCGCATCGAGCGTCCGTTCACGTATCATCCTTACTCGAGTCGGACTAATTGAAAGAATTTTCGGAAAGCGTGGCTCGCTTAAATTCCATTTGGAAGTCAACGAATAAATCGTTTCCAGTTGCAATTAAACATTTTCGAGACCCAGATAGGCAAGAGACATTCGATCCTGCGGTGTACATGTTATTTTATTCATGTGAAATAGTCAGTTTATTCGGATCAGATGTCATTTTATTCGCATCAAATGTTATTTTATTCGGATCAGACGTTATTTTATTCGCATCGGATGTTATTTTATTCGCATTAAATATTACGTTACTCGCCCCAGATGTTACTCCATTCGTATCAATCATTCAGTTACTCGTATCCTCGCGTAAACACATTTCTCCATCGAGTTAGCGCACATCGAACAATTTTTTAATTCAATGCGCGGTCTTCTTTTCCTAAGAAACGCCAAATCGCTTCGACCGTAAGATCCAAAATTCGCTCGACGAAGCGACGGATTCTCCGTTTCACGCGCCAGCGAACAAGATCGACTCGATAGAAACCGAATTATAGTGAACGTTCGAAAATTCCGAATAAGAATTCCCGAGAATTCCAGCGCGCGAGAATTCCGTTCGCCGCGCGCGCCCGTATCATAAAGCCAATAAAACATCAGATTTCGGTGTTTGAGAAGGGACATCGCCGCGCGCCGTGCGTCAACGGGGCCGTCTAGCCGCGTAATTAAAGCGAAATTTACAGGGTCGGTTCGCGGGAAAAATATAAATTCGCGGCGGCCGGCCTCCTCCAATTAGTGAGCGGCGTCAATGACGCATGACGACGCCCTTCATAGACGCTAAAAGTATCCGAGTTAGAGGGATCTTTTTGGACGGCCGCGGCACGGCGTCGTTGTCCCCTCGCCTTCGTCTTCGTCTTCGTCGTCGTCGTCGTCGTCGTCGTCGTCTTCGTCGTCCTCTTCGTCGTTGTCGTCGTTTCGGACAGATTGTATCGTTGGGGGCTGCTTCGTGTTGTTCGATTCCGGTGGTGTCTTCGGAATTTATGCGAGCCCGTGTTACACGTTTATTTCTGCGGCCGTTTTCGCTGGCCGCCGCGTCGCGTCGTCGTTCGCCGGCTTGGTGGGAGGTTAAAGATAGCAGAGATTGTTAGTACGCGAAAAGCCCCGGGAAAATTCTTATCTTCGCCCGTCAGAGGATCCAGCGCGGACGTCTATCCGCTGTCTCGATTCCCGGCGAGATAAATGGCTCGGCCAGATAAATATGGCAGTCGCCCGTTCGCGAACTTGTTTTCCAAAGAAACTTCGTCGACTTCGGCCGAGATTGTACAACTTTTACTCTCGGCCGGCGGGACTTCTTGCTCATTTGCTCGTGCCCCGATTTTTCCGCGGGAAAGATACGGGAAGACGTTTCGCGTTTGGACGGTTCTCGTTGCCTTATTAGACGAAAATAATCGATCGCCGCTCGTACGGCGATCAGGACGCTTATATACAGCAAACTCATTTATTCCTTCCGTCTCGGTATCGTTCACGGTGCCGTGTTGAAAGTAACATGACTTTTAGGATCTCCTTTTGGGAAAACTGTACGCCGAGGTTCTTTCGAATCGAATGAAGTCCGCATTCTGGCAACGGTTGCATGATCGGGCATCACGGTCTTTAGCATATTAGCACGATTTAGCGGTCGTAAATTCGATTGTATATTTCATTTGCATTTCATTTGCATTTACATTTCATTTCATTACATTACATTTCATTTCATTTCGTTTCATTTCGTTTCATTTCATTTCATTTCATTTCATTTTGCATCATATCATTTCATATCATTTCATTTCATTCCATTTCATTACATTTAATTTAATTTAATTTCACATTTTATTTCATTTCATTTTATTTTATTCATTTATTCCGGGGAAAATCCTTTGGCAGAAAAGAAGGTAGTACGTAAGGAAAAGAGATCGTATTGGTACAATGAAAATGTTATCGCTTATAAAGATTAATAAGTGTTCATTAGATTGCGAATTTTATGCATTTATAACAACAATTATCAGATGAAAATTTGAAAATATTACTGTATTACTAACTGAAATGATTAAGAAAATAGATAAACGACCATGTAGTTTTTGCATCTTGCAATTGCTGAAGGCAATTTTTATTTTGTCTAGAGATCCGCTGTCTAGTGATTATTGTACGATATACTGCAACGATAGAATTGGACTTCCTATCGAATGTGATTCTTTCGAGGATGCATACAAAAAAGACAATGAAATAATTACTGGAAAAGAGATATGATTATTTGACTACGGATCTTAATGCAAAATAGGAATGTTCATCATCTCTTCCATTAAACAGAAATTAGATAAAAATCTGTTAGCTCTTTTAACGATGTTAATACAGTGAAAATAATGCTGCAGTATTTTTCAAATTCTTGCTATAAACGCATAGAATCCTTAGTCTAACGATTACTTTGATTATTTTACTTGCAAACGAACTATCGGTAACCGTTCTTCTATTCTGCAATGTTTGAACATATATTTCAGATCCAGTATTCACGTAATTGACTTACTTAATGAACTTTATTGCTTTCCTTCCGGATTACAAGTGATCCATCTCCTCACACATACATACAATAAAATAAAATAACATAAGATAGATGAAACAAAACAAGAAAATGAAATAAAATAAAATAGAATAGAATAGAGAATGAATACGATAAATTAAACTGAAATTAAAATACGAAAATTCATGGAACGGTAATTGACTTACTTACGCAAAGAAACTCGAAGTTTTCCGACCGGTTGGCCGAGTCGCGCGGGGATCAAAGTCAAAGCCGGAATCCCGAAAAAGTGTTCTACATTCCCGGATTATTTTTACCGTAAAACCTTCGTGGCGCATCAATTACCCTAGCCCTCAAGGAAACGAGCAAACAAGCCGACCGAGGGGAAGGATCCGAGCAAAAATCCTCGTTAAAGCACGCAAGAAACTCCTCGTCAATTTCTCAATTCCCTTTACCAAGATTTCCCTCTGCAGGAAACGCCGCGCTCTCGAAACTCCGGCTCTCCGGTACGAAAATAAAACGAAACGTATTGGTAGAAAGTCTCGAGGATGCTCTGTCTCCCTCTCTCTCTCTTTCTTCTCTCTCCCTCTTTCTTTCTTTCTCTCTCTTTCTCTCTTTCTCCGGGATACCTATCGCTCGGCAAAGAAAGAACGTTTGAAGGGGGGTAGACCGCTTTCCAGGGCCGGGTAAAAAAGGTGCAGAGAAAAGTCGCGGCTGGAAGATGGATAGCCGGTGGTTCGATCGTTTTTCTGCGCTCTTTTTCCTCGGTTTGCTCCGGGCCCGTGGTTCTCCTATAAAAATATTCACGTGCGGTCGAAACGCGCGCGCTCTCCGCTCGGCTCGGCGCGGCGCGGCGAGGCGACGCGCACGCTTCTCTCCCAATTAGTGCGTGCTGCCGGCGCGTTGAGGTAAAAGAACCGCATGGGCCGCGTGATATTTCCGTCGACGAGCCTCTGTGGCCTTTCTCCGTAATTATGGCCCTCCGTCAATCCGCCGCTACTCAAAATCCCCGCGGCCCGGCCGGCGAACTTTTGTCGTAACGAGCGCCGCATCGCTCCGCTCCGTTCCGCGCCGCGCCGCGTCGCGCTGCCCTCGTTAACCCACTACCGTTAAATTACATAGGCCGAAATCTATCCGGCCGAAATCCCGGAACCGACGATCGATCCGCGGATCGATGATCGTAACCCCAGTCCTCGCACAAATCACCGGGTCCCTCGCCTAATCTTCCAGCTTCTGGGCTTTCGGGCACGCCCGCCATTACCGCGGGCCAACTTCCGCTCGCCGGCTACCGGCCACGGTAGCAACTTTTTATGCCGAATTAATCTCTGCTGTTTCGTGACGGGCCCTCGCCTACCTTCTTCCGACCCTTCGGGCTTTTCTCGGGGAAGTTGCGGCTCGTGGGAGCCGCAGCAAGTCGCGGAATATTCGGACACTTGTGTCGGATTTGTATGAATTTCGATGCAAATATTCTTGAAGTGCAATTGCGATTCCAAAGAACTTTATTTAACCCGAGAAAGATAACCTACGTCGCAGAGGCGCCTGCGAAGACTGTTGATTTTTGTTAATTTTTCATAGAGGTCTAGTGATTTAAGTTTAAAATTACTTAAAATATAAAAAAATATAATATAAATGCATTTTATTTTTACAATAATGCCAAACCTTTAAAATGACTAGATTAACTTAAATAAATATCCATTGTTAGTATAAAATTGACGCCTTAGAAAAGCATGCGCCTCTGAAGCGTATGGTTATCTTTTACGTACGTTGTCATATGGTTATCTTTCTAGGGTTAATATGTTCCGTGCCATGTGTACCATCGATGGTACATGCTTACATGTTTCTTCAATGCGTTAACAAAATAGTTTGTAGCAAATATAGAACCGAAGAATTAATTCCACCGCAAAAATGGGTCATGATAAGATTGTTTTATTATTATACATACGATAATGAATAATTACATATAATATATCAAGTTTTAGTAAAATATCAAATGGCCAGCGTGAAAAGTCGAGTAAAAACAACTCGGCACAGAACGTGTTAATCTGCTAGGACTTTAATTCGTGTCCGGATATACTGTTTTACATAGATAACATTATCTCTTATTACATATTTCCCTTTTGGCAAACTTAATATCTATTTCTGTCTATGGCATTGTGAATTGACCTAAAATTTGACCTAGAACTGTTTATCAAAAATATATAACGCTTCAGATATAACATTATAAAAATATAGACATTTAAATGTACCCATTAAAAATACATCCAATTTTAAATGTATCCATTTAGATTAATTAATGTATCCTACATTAATTCTATTATTCAGTTAAGGAAAACTGAGTGTACTTTATCACAAGACTTTTGAACGACCGAAAAAATCCCTCAATTAATTCTGCAAAGAGGAATTATCCAATTGTTCGCTGTGCAATTCAACTGAAAATATACTCTGTCGATATTCAGCTCAGAGTGTCCACCAGGACTGGGGAGAAATAAATGTTTAAAATAGCAAATAGACTACAAATATTTCAATCTTCTCATGTAATACAGAATTTGGCAAATGAACATTTTTGTTTCAAACAATAGTTTCACACGGAGATATCATTTCAAATATATTTAACAACGTAATATCATCATACATAATAACTATTATTTCAAAAAAAGTATATCTGCCAAATTTTGTATCGCGCGAGAAGATCAAAATATTTATAGTCTATTTACTGTTTGAAAAATCGAGATCTCCCCAGCCCCCGGTGTCCACTTATCCCATCGCACGATCTCCTCGACTCCTCTCCGACCGAATGAAACCGGCTGAGAAAATCGTTCTCGCTTTTTTCGAACGCAGCCAGCAATTTTCCCGTGGCCGTCCGGCGAACACCGACAAAGGTATCCCGTCCCGCTCGAAAAGGCTTGGACGCGTATCGAAGAGGGCGGCGCGCGTCGTTACACCTGACGCCCGAAGAGGAACACGGTGCTCGGACAAAGGGTAGAGGCGCAGGGTCCGGTCCGCTTACGAAAAAGCTCTCCCGCTCGGCGGTTATATATCTTCATCGAGGGGGTTTGCTTAGGGGAGTCATTTAAATGCAGCCGCACGCGCGTCAGCGGCCCGGTCCCCGCTAGGATAGCTACATCGTCCATACAATGCGACAATATATAATGCGACGACACACACTCGAGTCTCCGGGCGGCGTCTCTCTCTCTCTCTCTCTCTCTCTCTCACACACACACACACACACTCTTTTTCCCTTCCTCTCTCTCTCTCTCCCTCTTTCTCCCTTTCTCTCTTTACCCTCTGTGTCCCCGATAGATAAAAGACGGCCTCGATGCACGAGGATCTCGCGTCGCCATTTTCAAGATAGTCTCCTCCCCCGCGGACTGAAAACCCGGAGAGACTTGCAGCCGACGGCACCGTGGGCCTCCCCTTCGTGGTCGAGGCGCGCACGAGTGTTTCTCTCCGGTCTCCCTGTGCACGGCGTGCACAGGTGTGCGTGCGGAGGTGTGTAGTCGGCCGTCTGTGAGAGCTAGAGGCTCACGTATTCGCGCGTCTACGTGCACACAGCGAAAGCCGGGAGAGGAGAGCGGCGACGAACGCAGCCGCGGCGAATGAGCGAGTATTCGTGCGTTTCGCGATCAATATCAAGCAAGATGGCGACCAAGAACCCTACGCCGCACCGAATACAATAGGCCAGCTCTCTCTCTCTCTCTTTCTCTCTTTCTCTCTTTCTCTCTCTCGCTCTTTCTGTCGCTCTCCGCCCCCCCCCCGGGCAACCCGACGACCCCTCGGCCTTTTCTCTTTCTCTATATCTTCTTTGGCTGATGCCGGCGCCATCGAGTCACCCGGCGACCGTCTACGCCGATCCCGCTGTCGAATCCGCGGCTGAACAACGTTTCGAGGAGTTTAGAGGGCGATGGGGGAGGGCGAGCCTTTGTGCTCCGGTCGAGACGGGTTCCTCTCGGATGACAGGGATGCGCGGAGCCCGCAAGGCAACGCGTGATCCGGAGCTCGAGCTTTCTTCGGGGGTGGCTGGTCGATTAGGATCTTTGGGAGGGGCTTCTGTTCTTGCCGATTGCGGGGCTCGCGACTCCATTTTTCCACCGTTTCTTTTGCGAGTACGGTCAGCCCTTATACAAGATTTGATTTGATTAGAGTAGATTAGATTAGATTTATTTTTCTTCAGGTGCTCGGTGTTAAAAAATGTCACTTTTTTACATCGATTAGAGGCATCATAAAATACGGTTTTCGATATAGCGTGTAGCAAAAATTACTATAGTCTTCCTATAATTTCGAACTTTGACAACGTTAACCCCTTTGCTTTGTAACATCGTGCCGGACTCGTTACGAGGATTTTCAACATAATCCACGAAACGTGGATGTCGTTCACGTCTTTTAAATTACATTATAATTCTTCCCTTGTATTAGAAATATTTAAACGTTGATAAAATATTAATTTTTTGAAGACGAATGCTGTCGAAGAAATCGCAGTGTGAAGGGTTAATCGATCTTCGCAGCAGGATTTCTAAATAAATCGTCGCGATTAACTCATTACCCGCCGCAATTCAAAGATACAAAAAAAAATTAAATTGAGATTATTAGTTTCAACCTGAAGTTTACAATGATTTAAAACAAAATAGCGGGAATTCTTAGTACATTCGTGGAGCACATGACATGTTCTCACTATTTTAATGCCTGTATTTTATGTAGAAGTTGCAGTTTTTAAAAGAAAGAAATTTGAAAAAGGGTCCCCCAAAAATGGTACATTGACGGATAGTAGGATAAAATCGAAAAATTATAAATGGTTCGAATTTATCAGCCAGTTACTCGGCATGCTTGGATAAAAAACCTCGGACTCAAATCGAAAGAAAATAAGCGAATCCAGTCACCCGCTTTTTAGAGTTCAAGGATTAACCTTGAACCGGTGGCGTACGTCAATTTGACGTCTTATCGTTCTGCGAAACAAGCTGTAAAAAATTTGGCCATCGTTGGAAAGTTAAACGATGCTCTCCTAGACTCTAGGAGCTAGATTAATTGATCAGAAACGGTGTAATCAGTAGGAAAATGTTCTGTCCGCAGGTCTGGTTCCAGAACGCTCGCGCAAAATGGCGGCGCATGGTGCTGAAGCAGGAGGGGAAATCGGACAAGTGCGACAGCGGCGTGGATGGTGGTTCCCTGGGCGATCTCGAGCTCTATGGGAACAGCACCGGAAGCGGTGGCCCGCCGATGAGTCCCCCGTTCATGCTGGGAGGACCCCATAGTCCCGCGTCCCTCGCCTCATTGGACTGCGCGTGATCCCCGAAATCCCTTTTCCGGGCCAGGTCGATCGAACGATTCGCCACGAGGGACTCGTAAAAGGAATCGGACGCGTTTCCAGGACCGTCGACGATCCGGGAGCGCCGGGGAGCATCGGTTTTCCCCATCCCGAACCGCGGACACATCGATATTTCCATGTCTCGACGCTGTGAATAATTTATTTGTCGCTGACGGGGTTGCTTCCTGGGTGATCCGGGGAGGTTCGATCGACGAGAACGTCAGAGATTTTCTAGGGAGGAGGCTCTCCCCCTCGAGATCCAGCGAATCGATGCTCAGAGTTGCCATTTTTTTATAGAAATGGACACTGCCAGGCTGAGGACACTTCAACCGGGACGATGCATCTTGTTCATTTGCTGCTCGACGTCGTTTCTTAACCGAAGTCCCCACTGAAATTTGTCTAATTGCTCATACGGCGAAAAAGTAATATTTATTTAGCTGCTCGGGATCCCACTATCGTGTTGCACTTTTATTAATTTGACTTCTTCAATGAACTCCTAGCCAATTCGAAACAATTCTTTCTTTCGACTCGGTGGAAGACCGACATTCCACAATCTCCTATCTATTAATTTCGCTATAGCATCGGGAAGATTGTGAATATTTAAGTGCTCTTTGCGAGGCCTGTTGGTTTCGAATCGCCAAATCGATTTGGATGACGCATCGAACGGTCCAGGAAGCATCGTTAAATCGGCCATCGTCTCCCCGATCGAAGACAGGAACGGATCGTCCTGCGGGCAAAATGGCGGATGTACCATAGCGGAGAATCGATTAGTCGAAAGCATTAGAAAGCGTTGTATTTATTGTATCCGAGACGGTGAATCGTCATTTCGAATTGGTTCGTGCTCGTGTTCCGATGACAGAACTCGACGGACAGTGCGGGCTCGCAAGCAGATCGATAGATCGACGGAGGACCGTTCCCTCGATCGCGAGCGTTTGTAATTAGTTATCGATGTCTATTTATTGGTTATAAGCGTTCTGAGGTAAACCAAGTTTGGCTCGCAAACTTGATCAGTGCTGTGTGAAAATCCAACGTTTCCGGGAGGAAATTATTGGAGCGGGAGGCATGTGTATGATTGTGTACGTACATAATAATATATACATATATATAATTACGATAATCGTTAGGTGAATTAGGTGACCAGAGCAGTTAATTCGCGTCTGGAACACGCGGTTGGAAAATTGCGGTCTCGTCGACGCAGAGTCATTGAAATTTGTTGAATAATTCAAAGATCGGAGCGTTCTGAAACGTTGGGTTTTAACGTCGATATAAATATAATTATAAATAAAAATATAAATATATATATATAAATATAAATATATTATTTATATAAATAAATTTCGGGCGCGCGAACGATGTGTAATTATAATTATTGCTCAAGACAGAAGAACGAACGACGTAGAACGCGGAGCGAGGAGATACGGCGGGTCGAGCCGCGCCCGATCGCGAATCCATGACGTATTTGAAGTAATTGTTGTAAATAAAGGACGTTCCTCAAGTTTCTTAAGGCACCGCTATAGGTTGTAGGGATTATAATTGCATTCGGTAGCGGTTCTGTTAGGCAAGGTAATAATGATGACGACGATTATTATTATTATCACTCCTATTATTACTATTCTTGTAACGAATGGAACGATTGTCTAATTTTACAAGATGATTTTTTCATTGAATATATTTTGACAATATACTCGCTGCCTCTGTCGACTTTTTCTTTCGCAACCCTCGTCGACCCCCCTCCCCTCCACCCCGTCATCGTCCGTCCGCAACAATTCATTTGCAACCTAATGTACTTGCGTATAGAACAGACTTTATTCGAATTTGCAGGATTTATAAGGTTAATCGTTCGATTTATTAATCCTCTGAACATGTTTCTGAGAAAAAATACAGTTTTAATTATCATAACAATAATTTTTATTTTCAATTATTATTTAAATTTATATAAATTTAATTTTATATTTAATTAGTACACAAGTAATTTTTTAATTACTTACAGCGACGGACCAAGGTATTCGTACACTTTTCATGATGCAATAACTGTTTAAAAAAGTTAAAAAACAAGAGTTTTTGATCGTTTTTGTCATCCCAAGTGATAGGAAAATTCAGAATAAAAGTATTTTAGTCATTGCACAGTGAAATAGTCCATCTAATTATGTTAATACCCGGAATGGGCCGATTCCTGAAGTCATTTGAAGTAACTTTTTCCTTAGCGAAAATGCAATTCGCGGCTTCGTTTACGAATTATTAACGAAAAACACTGACCAATGAGAGGCGAGCTCAGCTGGCGCAAGGCGGCCAAGCCAACTAGCGGTCGACGCCCAGTTCCGCTCATTGGCTCGGCCGCCTCGCGTCAGCATACCTCGCCCCTCATTGGTCAGTGTTCTTCGTTAATAACTCGCAAACGAAGCCGCGGATTGCATTTCCGCCAAGGAAAAAGTTACTCCAAATGACCTCCGGAATCACCTCATTCCCGGAGTTAACACAATTATGGAACACCCTGTCTCAAAGTAATTCGATTCGTTCGGTCCAATTTAACAAAATTTATTGCGTCAGGAAAGGTGTGCACTTTAGTCCGTCACGTGCACGTCCACCCTGCGGTCCAAATTCGGGCCGATAAAACCGAGGAATTTCCGGCAAGAAATGTTGCACCGCGGGGCTCGCGTGCAGGTCCGAAGGGTTCGTTCGCGCGAGCGTAATCGCCGCTAGGAAGTCTGTTAAAGGGGGCGAGAGAGATGGATTGAAAAATGGTCGCCATCGAAGGTAAATGCTCGTGACGAGTGAAGGACGCGGCTCGCGAGGCTGTCGGCAATTTAACGATCCCGTTACGCACACCTACGAGTGCGCCACGCATCCCGAAGGGCGAGCATTAAAATTAAAATTATACGTCGCGCGCCGACCCGAATCACGCAACGCTGGATCCGGGGCGCAAATTATCTTTAACAGACGAACACGGGAAAAGAAACTCCTCGTTAGCTTTGCCGCCCGGGCAGGGCGGGCCGTTTTTACGAGTGACTTGCTCCCGCGGGATCGCCAACTTAATTGCATCACGGTATCGGCCGCAAAAATTGAAACACTTCGCGCGCCCCGAGCCGGTGCCGTTCTTTCACCGCCGGATGCACTAAAGCAAGCTGTTTCACGTCGCTCTGCAAAAATAACCGGACTGCGTTCGCTCGGATTCGCGGCGATTTTTATTCCATTATGTATCCGGAGAACGCGGGCAACCTTTGGCAATAAGTTTCCGATCGGTCGCGTAGGTACGAAATTAAAAAAAAATTCATTATTAAAAATTGATTGTTCTGTGTGATTAAGAGTAATGGGAAATTAAGGGGAATTAAAGGGTGCTTACTATAAAGTATAAAACAACAAGGGCGTAGCCAGGATTTCGTTCAGGGGAGGGCAAAAGTGTTGGACTAAAGCAGACTTTTCTACGTAAATTTTACGAATTTTACGTAAATTTATCTTTTTGTATAATACATGAAACAAATAAAACGAAAAGTTTAATGATATCTAAACAAAATGTTTAAACAATGTTATGTAATTTCTTGTGTATCGTATTTGAAAGATTCAGCTTAAAATCAATCTCCTAGAATTCTCAGCGAATCTTGTCTCTTCATTGTCGCGATTCGCGATACTAATTGTTTGGCTGCTGCTCGTGCAATCATCGTCATTACCCTGCCGTTTATTTCCACGAACAAATTAACTCTAAATTTTAGTCTTTTTAACGTATATCGAGTCTTGCATCAACATTTAATAAATAATGCATATAAAATGGTAATATTAACGGTAAGTGCACTCGTTAATTTGTGCGACCGGCTTCATCAATTTCATGGTTTCGTTAATGGCTAGATTAATGGGTCAGGCATGTATTAAGCATGAATTAAAGCTAATAATAAAGGTATATGTTGCTTTCTGCTATACACTCGAGATCGTAAAATAGAGTGCAGCGAGTGAAAGTTGCATCGAATGTTTACGGTTCCAACGTGGTCTATGCCAACTTCCGTTAAAAAAATCCTGTTTCCGCGGCTTCGACGTCGGTGTCATCGATCGTGCAAGCATTCTCTTCGGTCACTGGATTATGCTAATTCCGACGAATCCTGTGAAAACGCGGAGCACGCGACCGAATTTTCGACACCGGGGAGAATACGAACGATTCGCGGTTGGAAAGCGCGGCGCAGGAAAGGATAGCGGAAACGCAGGGGAAAAAAAACTAGAATGCAAGGTAGAACGGCGCATTCAATATGCATCCAGTTGCATTGTGCCGGCCGCTGAGTAAGCGTCTGACGCACGGAGCGATGCGATTTCGAGCAGAGATTGTTCGTTGGATTTCTGAATCGATAAAAATCGCGGGAGCATCGCCGCTGCGAGTCAGTACCATCCGCAGTCGAATCGAATTTCATAAAAGTTCTCCTGCGATTATCATTCGAAAGAAACGTCCGCTTCCTTGCGCAATTCTCAGCAGATTCGGAGCTCGATGATTTTTCAAATAAAGCTTCTTGCACGATGTTTGACAAAGTTTGGAACTGAATGATTTAAAGGAAAGCGGTTTCCGCTTCCTTGAAAATATTTCAACTTTTACTATTGAGTTCGCAGGGAATGTTGATTCTCTTCGGACGAGATATTTTCGTCTCGTCGGTTCGAGAATTGTGAGAGCAGAAGATGGTAGCGAAATGTAGTCCTTAAGAAAAAAGAAATCTAATCGTCATTCTGTTGCCCGTTGCAACCAGTTCGAACAGCTCCCTGGGATCCGACTCGAACATGGAAGACCAAAGAACCAGCGAATGTCTGCTACACCCACGCGGAGTTCACGTTCACCGTGCCTGGTCACGTTCTTGCACGATTTCTTCCCGAGATTATTCCAGCCCGGCCAGGCGATTCTCGGAGAAAATAGCGGAGGGATGAAGGCTGCATGAACGCGAATAAAACACTCCATAATTCTTCGTTCGGCGAAACTGTCCCGGAATGCTTCAAGTCAAAGTATCAAACCCCGACTTCTGACTTTGCTTCATTCGATATTCGTTGTTGCACCAAGCAGAAGCTCAATCCACATAGTACTCGTTGATCTCCAAGGACATTTAGATCTTAGATAGATCGAAATTCGTCAGAAAATTTTATCATTTAAGTAACTGTTCTTCAATAATTTCTAAATTGTTCCAATTATAGTACTCGTTCATCCCTGAGGACATTTAGATTCTGGGAAGAGTGAAATTCATCGGAGATATAATATATTTAACACTAGATTTATGGAGTACAAAAAACAGCTGTTTTATATCAGTTTATGAAAGTAACAATAAGATATTTATTCTGATTTTTAACAAGTAACGTTTGCCGTAAGTAACATATAAATTGAATAAATAACTCATAAATGTATCTTTACGATATGAATAATCGTAATAATATGATAATAATAATTATTATTATTATTAATAATTAATAATAATATGAATAATTACAAAATTAGTGACCCGTCATTTTGACAGGTTCCGTAAATCTAGTGTTAAGTAATTCTTCTTAAACAGTTTCAAGATTTTTGCAATTATAGTTACGTTCCGAAAATTGGAGATTGAATATTGTTACTCGATTGATAATTATTCGCAGTCATAGGTTCGGAGATCATTTGTAATCAGTATAGTAGTAAAGACTGCTCATTGCAAAAGGGAAATAAGAATGTTTTATTCCATCCTGTTTGTTTATATATTTTCTTGCACTTAAAAAATCCGTACGTGCTATAATCACAAAAAGATCTGCTGTCTAATAATCAGTGAACGATCTTAGTGAATAACATTTTTCACAAAGATACGGTATTTTCTCCAGAACCTGTGTGATAAGTTGTACTTTATTGCTAGTCCTCAATGATCTAACGCATACTAAACTTTGACATTAAACCTACCGGACAATAAAAGTGATCGACGTGCATAAACAACACTGAATTTATTAAGACATTTCATCAGTTTTATTGACGTTTACTTGGATGTTTCAATTATTTCCAATTAAGGAGTCTTTATAACGACACAACAACCTTAAAATAAAAATTCTGAAACCGGTGAAAATGATCGCCATGGCAGGTATAGTGTTGATAACGTGAGGACACTGAACGCGACAAAAATAAAAAAATGCAGATGAATTAAAAGAGAACAATGGTGGTTTGCAGAAAGGACATTTCGTTGCTCTCGGTGGGGATCCTGCGAAACGGTCTCAACGAAATCACTGGTTCCTCGATTAATTAAAACCGATTAAAATGGCCGAGGTTTGAAAATTACAAGGCACCGCGGCGCAGCCGATTAATGGGCTAAAGCTAATAAAGCGGAGGCGAGAAAGACAGAGAAAGAGAGAGAGAGAGAGAGAGAGAGAGAGAGAGAGACGAGTGTATAAGGGTTCTCACATTTTCTTCTCACGTTGGAAACAATGCCGGGAGAGTCGTGGGCCTCGTCGAGCGATAAAACGAGAACGGGGTCCGTTCCGTTCGCATTCGGGGACCGTTCATTCTCCGGCTCGATCAGGCGTGATCGAGAGGCGACCGAGAGATTCCTAGATCTTCCACATGCGATGTCACGGGGCCCAGGGGCCCACGGACCCACGGACCCCTGGCCGCTGTCCTCTGACCGGTTCGGGGGATCGAGATGTCGATAACGCGAATGATCGATGCCGGGCACCGTGCGACAGCGAGGAGACCTCTCTACCCGTTGACAGTGGTACGG